TGTTAATATGATACCAAAATCGAATAATCTTATCGACTTAAAAATTAAACAACAATCACAAAACATATATCAATGCAATAGAAAAAGCACTATGTCAAATAATTTACAATCAAGTAATTTGAAATGCTTGTTATTTCTTGTTTTACATGTTACATTTTCATTGCATTATATATTTATTAGATATCTTTATATCATCTCATAATCTATTTGAAACTAACAATTCATTCACTCGATCGAATACTATTGATAGTAAGTGTTATTGAAAAAAAAGCTTTTTTTTTAATATGAAACATTCTCATTTTACTTATTTCAGATGCAATTCTTACAGAAAGTATTGCTCAAGAATTTGATGAATTGTGTAATAATTCATTGATATCCAATGAAATCTTACAATGTATGTTAATTGTGTTTTGTTTAAAACAAGAAAATTAATTTACTTATTTATTTATTAACTATTCTTTTAGTTGATCCAATAGAATCGACAAATGTAATTCCAATAGATTTTATGTCAGGTATATTTAGATTTTAAAATAAATTCAAAATATAATTTAAGAAATATTTAATTTGTTTTATAGAGCTAAATGCTTTGATACCATATGACCCTATACAAGTGTCGAATGATTTAGAATGTCAACAAAAATGTAAGATTTAACCTGTTTTAATCATTTATTTGGATTATTTCAATTTTCTTATTTTAGTTCTTCCATATGATACTATAAAATCAGAAAAAATTCAAATAAAATGTCAACCACGTTCAGAATTTCGTCCTCGAACACAAAATGAAAGCAAAATTTCTACACATTATTTACGGTGTGAGAATGGTGCTGAATTAGATTACCCTGCTATATGTGTAAGTCATCGATTAGTAACCTACAAATAGATTAAAACAAATTTTTCTTATCTTTTAGGTACCTCAGAGATGGTCCTTCCAATCAGATATAAATATTATTGAAGTTGCTCTTGTCGATATTGAAAAACAACCACATCCCTATTCTATTGATAATAAAACTAGTAAAATATCGTACGATGATCAAGCATTAATTTTCAAAGATGGTCCATCAAATCAATTGTATTTTCGTTTAACTGCTAAAGATTTTAACAATGGTTACATAACGTAAGTTAATCTAAATTGTCTATTTTGTTTTGTTTAAAATTTTAACTTAAATACATATATTTATTTTTGAATAGTTTCATGATTGAATTCATTAAAAGTAAGCAAGATGATATTATTACCAAAGAATTAATTCGATCACGAAAACTTTATCAATCAATGCTTCGTTTTACACGAATTTATCGGGATGAATATGGTAAATTACAACGAGATGAAATAGGTCAAGAATATTCCTCTATAATGACAGAACGTAAGAATGAAATTGTTTTCAAAATTCTTTGAAAAAAAAATTCAATAAAAATTTATTTTGTTTTTATAGATTATGGTGATGTTTCTGTTGAACATATGAGTCCAAAATATGGTCCAATTAATAGAGAATCAATGGTATTTGTTGTTTTTAAAGGTCGTATTGTTAAAGATGATTTATCTATTATGATTTGTGAACAAACAACTCAATGGTCTCATGAAATAAAAAAGTTTATCTTAAATGGTAATGTTATTTATTTTAATATGCCGCCTTTTCCATATCTATGTATAAATAATGTAAAAGCAAGTGCAATTATTTACTATAAAAATCAAAAAATTCATGAATCAACTTATTTATATATGAACTTCTCGGATGGTATATATATCTTGTTTTTATCAAATAGAATATTTTTCTATATTTTACTTCTTTTTTTTTTGTAGAGGAACTTTCTCACCTCTTTCTCCAAGAATCGATATCAGATGTGGACATTTCCATGAGAAAAAAGAAACTTGATCGAAACATGATCGACAATATATATTGTATGCCATTAATACCTAAAAAGAACTCACAAATCAAGCCTAGAAAGCGTTTAAATAGTAAATTAACTTAGAGCATGTATGAACAGATATTCAATGAAAATGTTTCAAGTTTTGAATACTTATTAAACCGTGCAATGTCGTTTGATGTTTACAAATGTCTTTGTTATTCAATCCTTAGACATTGGAAAACAACTAGAACAAGAGTTTTTTTTCAATTTTGTAGTTTTTTTGAATTATCTATGCAGATGTATATTTTTTGATATAAAATAAAACAAAATGTCATCGATTTCTCAATTTTTATGACCAGAGTTTTATTTAACAGGAAGTCCAAAGGAGGCAGTGCCTCTCTCGAGATGGATTTGATCCTATTTGAGAGCGGGGGGTATCGTACCGCGTACTACGTAGTTGTGTCTGTTCGCCCTCTACAAGTTTCAAATCACTTCTTGAAAAGAAAATGTCTACATGGAGCATATTTTATTATTGATTCAAATCAACATGAATTCATTGATTTCATGTCATATTTCTTCACTACAATGGAGAAACAATAATAATCTTCTTATACGGAGTGAAAGTTTGTAGATAATCAAACAAGAATAAATTTTATCTGTTGTTAAAGCTTATTCGAGAGTAGATCCCGTTGATTTATTACAGGCGCGGATTTCACCGAGTGTGAGTTCGAACTTTTTCGCATTCAATGAATTCTAATCATATGAAATTTATGTAGTTTGCGCTACTCATCGAATGCAAAAACGTTGAAAAGAAGTATCCTATATCTTCAAGATAACTATCCATTTCTGATTAAACCTTTTCTCGCCTATGGATGTGGATTTAGTGAACGATATTGGTGTCAATACTGTGTGTGATTGAATGTAGATATATAATTAACACAAAGCCGAACTGACGCCTACACCAGTATCCGCACTCACACTCTCGTCTGGTTAGCTCGTGCACACCCTAGCTTCATTTTGGCATGTTGTCAGCATCTGTTATCCGATATTTTCCTGGCTTATATTTGAATATTCGAAGCCTAGTTACTTTCATGCACATACTCTCTCTATTCAGTAATCACTCATGCATGAAGTTCCGACTTTTGTTTGAAATATTTTAGAGTTTATTTTGATCTAACTTGAGATCTGAATGTTTATCAATAATAGGAGATGTAAGTATCTAGTAATTTGCATATATGTGGATTCTTCTTTGTAATTTCCCATCAAATAATAGATACGAACAAGTTTGAGATAACTATGGATCAGTAGCGAATGATTCTCAGACAACGTTCTCTTTTGAATTTCCAGTACCTTGTAGGAAAATGATAGCGCAGTAGAATATTCTTTCAAGGCTTTTTTTGTATGTCATGCCGAGTGTTGTAAATGTTATTCATAGCTGAGTTGTCCGAAAAAGAAATTCTTCGTCGAATTTCTAGTATCTTCTGAAAATAGACAAGCGTTGATGGACACTTGCTAAGATAAAGAGGAATACTGCCGAGATTGTTGAGGGTAACGCTTAGTTTATAGTCATCATGAGAGTGACATATTTGAATGTGGATGTATATTTGGTGGATACCCACACTAACCACCCAGTAATGCATATGTCAATACAAACTTCTTGCCAGTTTTTCGCATTTCATAATCAAGTACTTCTCTTTAAATAAAAATAATTCAATAATTCCTTTCTTAATACAAAAGCTTGATTTTCGATGAGAAATTAACGAGTGGGCCGATAGTTCTGAGACAACATGTTTGTTTATTTGTCGTCTATATGAAAGTGTTTCAGAAAGATCAAAATCTATGAGTTAGAACCAGAATCTTGCGCTCTTTCCAAACTAAGGTTCAAAAATTTCGTATCAGCTAGAGTGTGGGTGCGAGTGTCGGCGTTGGTTAAGATAACATGGGTGTGGGTGTTTCACTGATACTCACACCCATACCTGCACCCACACCGACACTCCACATCCACATTCTCTGTTGCTGTTATAAGTGCTATAGCTGGTCTAATGAATTCGATAATATCAGCATAAAATATACTAACCAAATGAAACGATTTTATTGATATTCTCCTCTTAAGTTTTACTTTAGTACATTATTCTCTAAGTCAATAAAGAAAAGAACGATTTATTTGAAAATATTTCAATTGTTCCAAGCAAAACTTAACTTTTTTAATATAAATTCCACTAGACAATGAATAGAAATAAATAAAAAAATTTCTAGAAAATTTTGAACTTGAGAATTCTAGAATATTTCTCTTCTCATTTTCAATATTTATCCATAGAGAAGCAGAATCCAGAAACCGTTACTAATCGAATCGAATCATGAAATGGTATTCTATTAGATTTTTATTTGATCAATTTACCTTAAGTTTTGAATAAAGTAAGTCATTGTTCACCAGCATTTCGATAAATGAAGATCAAATTGTATGAATTGGAATAGATATTTTCTGTTGGCTAACAACATGCTTGATGTCGATCCATGGACACTCACAAAAAGACTGTTTGAATGTGATAGAAGAGAAGATCCACACTCACATCCACCTCCACCCTCACCTCTTGAAAGTGAATCCTAATGAAATAATGAGTTGACCAAAATACAAAGTATCGCAATATAGTTTATCTTTATCTTTGCCCAAGTGCTTTTTCTTGGACATATTAATTATTCTACCTTCGTCAATCACATCGCATAACCATGTGCCATTTTCTTTTTTTAAATGAAAAATAAGGTACCCTTTTTCTTATATAATCGAAAATATGGTGAAGTTATAATAAAAAAAATATTCACTCATCTTTCATAGATGTACTTCAAACTATGGGTTTCTTCATCATTGTTACAGAAACATTTTCCATTTTTCTTATTTAAATGCCTTTCAAGATGTGAATTCAATTTTTACTGGTTTATGAGTGTAACTCGTACAATGTAAATTATTTTCTGTGAACTGAAATGTAACTCCGAAGATAGAAAATGTCTCCTTTTGATTATTTGTATTTGACGATTAATACATGTTATACATTCTTCATGCAATCTCGATCAGATAATTTTTCGGAGGCAGCATGAGTTGAAATATTTTCTCTAGTTGGATTATTTCATGTATATTCAAGATTGAAAACAACGGAACTTTATTCAATAACAATGGTATAACTAAGAGGTGGAACAAGATCAAAACCTCCACCAGTAAAGATTGGAACAAGAATTGTTTTGGGACCATCTTTTACACGAGTTATTTCTAATGTTTGTTGTTTATGAAAATTTTCACTGTTAAAAGAAAGTTGTTTTGGTTTCCATGTAAAACAATCAGTGCATTCAGCTGCTTTCCATTGAATAGTTACAGTATCAGTTCCATTAATTCGATGTGGAGGAGTAGAAAGCCAAACTTGAATTTTTACACTTTGGTTTAAATCTATTTTGGATGTATTTGGATTGTATAAAAGTTTAAGCATAACATCTCGACAAGTGAAAGCCCAGTCTTTTATTATAGGATCAAAATACTTATCATCTGGTTTTCCTACTTTTATCATCAAATATTCTGTTGTGTATTGTTGATCATCCCATGGTGTATGAATAACTTTAGTTGATCTAACAGGAATATCAGTATCTTTTCGAAAATAAATTTCTTCACATGGACAAGTTTTTCCGAGAGGTCGACACGTTTTATTTGAATACCAATAATCTTCATATACAGATGATTTATTCGAACGTATCATTTCATATTTAAAGTTTATAAAATTTTTTATTTCAAAAGAGCTTCCATTACTCCAATGTTCTGGAAATGTATTAAAAGTATTGCCACCATATTTCCAATATGTTTCATATCGACAACCAGTATCGGGAAACTTGTCTTGTAACTGAACATAATATTTGGATTGTGGAGAATCAGGAATTGCATATGGGAATTTTTTCATTGCATATGCTGTTTCTGATGATTTTATACTTTCACTGACTGATTTGTAAGCTCTTTGATTTATTTCGTCAATTGCATATAATGTCGGACCAGCAAAAAATAGAAGTTGTGGTGGAAAATATGGTTGAGTACAATGGCCCAAAAAACTTAGTAATATAAATAATAGTAAAGAAAAACATATTTTCATTATTTCGAGCTTCAAATATCAATCATTCAAAATATATTGATATATATATTCTTTTCTTTATGACACATAAAATAAGAAATCGCTATGAAATGATGATTAGATTAAATATGATTACATTACTTTTTTCGTTCTTCAGTTGGTCAATAAACTTTTTTCACACAACGCATCAAAACAGCTGTGCTAGTCTTATCACAAATAGTATTGACCTTGTTCGTTTTTTTACTTAAAATCAAGTCATATATTATCACAATATATTTTATCCACCATTCTATCAACGATAGAGCTGTTTGGAATTCAAAAATTATCAAAAGGATAAATATGGATTCATCATTAAGATATTCTTTTGAAGAGAGCTTCATTACTATAATCGTAGAAATATTATTAAAAATTGAAATAAAATTTATTTGTGGTCTATCCTTACCACGAATTATTGTTAAGCTTTGTTCTTCTTGAAAATGTTCACTATAAAAACAAGTAACGCTCATCGCTACAGTGCGCTTCACCATCGACTGAACTCGATCTACTCATCATCTACTACATCTTGTTGAATTCTGTTTTAAGAACTATCACTGAACAAACACTCACATACAAAAACGACCATATGGACAGAATCATTCGTTAGCGATGTGACTTCGGAGAATTCAAATATGTGTATATCCAGATGATGAGTTTCTTACATCTGATTTTTATATGCTAAATGGACAGTAAGTTACTATAGATACCCTAAAAAAATCACCACACCACACCACCCACACTCCACACTCACTATAATTAAAACAAGCATCTATTTCATCATCTATAAGGAAAATTCGATGTTGAAGTTCGCTTGTGCATATTAATAATTATTAATTGTTTCTTTTTAAAGAATAATTGCAACTGTTTATCATGTAATAAGTATTCAAAATCATGTACAATATGGTTATTATAAATACTTTCTAATAAACTAGATTTTCATCGAGACGTGTTATCTCTATCTTAAAAAGTTGAAAAATGAAAAAATGGGCGAAATTCGTTCGTTCTTGTTATCAAGAGTGACAAACCAACTCGAAAACCTTGCAAAAATTATGACCATGATCATATAATGTAAAATGCAATATTTCGTGTTTGAACATCAATTTAAATCTAATTGTTTTTCACGTTTTAATAGTTCGAATGTAGTTT